AAATGGGCCTGTGGGGAGTGTTTAAGTTCCGAACCATAACACTAAATAGGGTTCTGATGCCTACCTGGGTTTTTAGACTCGCACAACACTGTAGTTTTAGATTTTGACTGCTCCCCTCCTCCCAGGATCTGAAGGTGGGACAGTTTTTAGGTCACTGGGGGAATGCGTCTTGAAGGCAACGATGTGTGGATTTTTCTCTGTCAACATTGCTGCCTTGATGCACACTGCCTCTCACAGGCCCCCAAAAAACTGGGCCAAGTCCGTCACTGTCCAGAACCTTCAAAACTGCGAGTCAAAAGAAGCCTTTGTCTCTCATAAGCCGGTCATCCCGAGTATTTGCTACAGCGGCAAAAAGCTGATTCACACCACACACAAAAAAATGTTCTTTAGTCAGAAACTGCCCTGCCTGCCGCAGCTCAGTGGGCCAGGGCTGCTCCAGCAAGGGCTGTGCTCCAGGCTCCGCTGCCCAGAGCTGGCCTCTCATGCCAAGTCCTGCTTCGTTTCGCCTCAGAAGCACCATAAATGCTTCTTGCATTTAACTGCCTCATTCTTCCTGCACACACTGGAACTCACACAGAAATAAAAGGAACTCAGCATCTCCCCCAAGTTCCCACAGGGCTCCAGTTGGATCCAGCTTGCTCCCGTTTGAAGTCTTGCAGGCAAGGATGGGTACCAGTGAGGAGAAAGTAAATAGTCTTGTCTGAGTTTCCTAAAAGAAGTTCGCACCTCATCACCTCCTCCCACAGTCCCAGTCTCCTGCGCCCAACTGTTCCTTATTTGATAAAGGCAAATACTACATCCAGCCAGGCCAGAGAGGACTTCTCCAACTGTGCTGGAGGAGATAATTAATGTCCCAGGGCAATGTGGGAGGGGGCAGTCAGTGGGTGGGACCCAAGCCAACCCTATTCTGGGAGAAAATGAGTGTGTGTGTATGTGTGTGTGTTTTTTTCTGTCACCCCACATAAAGGTGATTTCAATAATTGTGTTTGGTTCCTGTGTCTCATAAAAGCTGTTTTGGGGTGGCCCCAGCATTTTTATGTGTGTGCTCCTTAGTCATGAGGGCATACACTTTGGTAATCCATTTTTTCATTCATCTCCTGGATACCAAAGGGCCCCCTAAGCCCTGGAAGCCCCCCTCTGACTTCTATTGCAGATTTTTCTGGTTGCCAGTCATGGCCAGTTTGTCAGAGAGAGGGCAGAGAGGGAGGGAGGAGGGGGGAAAGAGGAGGGAGGAGGGAGGAGAGACAGAGAGAGAGAGAGAGAGAGAGAGAGAGAGAGAGAGAGAGAGAGAGAGAGAGAGAGAGAGAGAGAGAGAGAGAGAGCAGGAGCTAGGAGCAGGGAGGGGGAATAGCCGAGCTGCCTTTGTGTGTGGTCCCAGGCTGGTCCTCCCTTCATGAAATCCTGGGCTTCATTCCTGGCTCTGGTAAACTTGAGCGTCACTTGAATGAGTCCCTTATCCATTTTCTAAACACTGAAGAGGTTTGAAAGGGCCCTGTGGGCAGACTGTTACTATCGGCGAAAGCAAACAAGCCAGAGTATTTAGCTAAGCATTTTTAATATTTAAACATCATAACTTTCAACTATGCAGGAGCAGTGGCGGGCAGCCAGGAACGCTGGCCGAGAGGACTGGAGCTGCAAGTGCTCCTTCAGGTGGGCCTGCTGTCCCTTTGAGGGGCCAGCCGGGACCTCCAGACTTCCTACTGGCTCTAGACCTGTATGACTCCCGGTGGGTGGGCAGCTGGAAAAGGGGAAGTTACTCAGTCTTGTCATGATCCGATGTGGTGCTTCCTTCCCTCTTCAAAACGTAAAAGTCTAAGCAGACCCCCAGGAGAAAAGGAAACTGGGGCGGCGGTGCAGAAACAGGAGCCGGGAAGCTGTGGGCTCAGCATCAGGACCAGGTACAGCAAATATTATCCCTGTAGATGCGGCCTGCGCTCCCCACCCTGGGAGTGAGGCCATAAAAACCGGCCTGGCCAGGGGCTGGGACAGACCACAGCTCCTCCACGGGCGCTGGGGACCCCTCCCAGCCGGGACAGGATGGCACCAGACACCCGCCCACCAGACTCCATCCCACCAGCTGGAAGTGGCTTTCTGGTTTATGGAGCAAGACGGACCTGTAAAGTCAGTAATTCTCAGCGGCCAGAAGAAAGTCAGCGCCCCCCCCGAGCCTGGGGAAGCTTCTGGAACCCCGCAGGCAGCTGAGCCAGCCCGGAGCTCAGCCAGGCCTCCCAGGCCAGACTCCCCCGGTGCCACCCGAGGGACTGAATGGGCTCCCTGTCTGCCAGAGCAAACAAGACCCCTGGGCAGGGCGCTGGGGAACAGCCTGGCGCAGAGCAGGCCGGAGGTTACACAGGCCACGGGGGAGGACAGGGGATTTTTTTTTCTCCCTGGACATTCCACCGGGGAAGGCCTGCCAAGGGCTTTGCCAAGGAGCTCAGTCTGCCCCACCATTACGGATGCACCAGTAAATGGCTCCATTCACAGAGGACAAGGCCCAGAGGGCCTTTTCTAATGCAGTGCCTGCCCAGCCCCACAGCTGCCACCCAGGGTCCCTCCTCTAGCTCATCCAGCTGCTCTGGGTTCTGAGATACTTTTCCTGGCACGAACTTCCAGCTTCCTATCTGTACGATATAAGTGTGGGTCTGACCTGTGGGGCTGCCCTGGGGATTCGTGGAGACTGTCTGGATATGGCTGTCATTCTTCTGACTTCAACTGTGGAGCAGTTTGCAGGGCCTCTCTAGCTTTGCTGATAGCCCTAAACTGACTGGGAGCTCCCTCCGCAGGATGCCGCAGGTATATGGGAAGGGGCAGAGGAAAGCACTGCCTTTCAGCCTCCCCAGCTTGCCCTGGGAAGTGTAATTGTCTCCCAGTGCCCATGGGAGACGTTCTCTATGACCCACTCTCATGTAAAAAGACTGCAGTGTTCACATGGTAACCACCTCCTATTTGTTTGACGTCTCTAGACTAACTATAATCCAAATAAAATGTATATACCATATGCCTGCTGTACCGAGTCGTCGAGGGAACAGACAGAAAACATGTCAGCGCAGAGACAGTACACAGACAAAACTTCCCCCAGGGAGCTTCCATCCACAGTCGGTTGAATTAGATGGGGGACCTGTGGATGCGGAGGTTGGACTGATACCATCTGCCCTACCATTACTCTCTTGGGCGCCACCCACAGGCGGCTCTTAAGGTCTCATCCTTTGCAGAGCCGTAGACGGTGACGCTGGGCTTTCTGTACAGCTGGCTGAAGTCTTCAGGAGTCCTCACTCAGCATCAACTCCTGGGCTCCCCAGCTTACACGCGGCAGGGAGACCCATCCGCCATGCAGTACAGTCAGAACTCTGTGACTTGGAGAAAAGGCTAAAACTGCTCGAAGTGCTGTAGCAGTCAGATCAGTGAAGACATTTTGGGGGGGGGCAGGTCTGGAGCCCAAGTCCATTGGTTTCCTTCCTGTGGAGCGATACTTAAATCCAATGGGGGAAGCCGGGCAGTGGTGGCGCACACCTTTAATCCCAGCACTCGGGAGGCAGAGGCAGGAACTCTGTGAGTTCCTGGCCGGGCTGGACCGACAGCCTCCAAAACAATACAGAGAAACCCTGTCTCGTAAAAAAAAAATCCAATGGGGGAAAAGTAGTTGACTGCACACGTATCAGCTATGCCATCACTACCGGTAGACACATCTTGTCAAGAACGCTGATAGTATTAGCATTCGGGGTCCACAAACAAGCACGATCATTGCCAACAACCCTCTACCAGCGGTCCACATACACCCCTTTCAACACTATGAAAGCTAGACACTGGGAAGAAACTTTCTACCTCAGACCCAGCCCAACTTCTTCACGCTGTGGAAGCAAAGTGTGTAGTCTCTTGGCAATCTTTCTGGCACGCAATCGATAGCAATAGCTGTAGCCTGCATCACAGTATGTGGTCTCATCCACACTTCTGCGCCCAGCCCAGCAACTTGTAGGAAAGTAACCTACTCCTGCCATTGGGGTTGTGTTCAGTAACCTTGTGGCTTCTAGATATGCCCAGTCATATAGGATGCCTTCTGAACTTAAATTCTTTAACAGATAGTCTTGCATTTAGAGGTACAAGGTATGTATATATATATATATATGTGTGTGTGTGTGTGTGTGTGTGTGTGTGTGTGTGTGTGTGTGTGTGTGTAGGGTTTTTCTCAGTCACCTTATGGGGAACCATCTACCCTTGATCCAACAAAAACACCTAAGAGTTTCCCAGCTATGCCTGGCCTACGAGGCCTGGGTGAACTGACTTCTCCTCCTTGCTTGTTTGGATGAATTTTTATGTCTTCCAGAGGCCTTTCTGAATCTGTAAAGGAATCTGAGAGTTAGCATGCCTTTCTACAGAGGATGGACAGGATGTCTGAAGGTCACAACTGTTCGATTACGGTCTTGATGTTCTTCAAATAAGGGTATAAACATAAAAGAACGCCAGCATTATCAAGTTCGATACAGCACGAAAAGATTCTATTACAAATATGGAGCATTTCCTCAGAGATGAAATACTGGGTATAGTAGCATGGGAGAGAGAGAGAGAGAGAGAGAGAGAGAGAGAGAGAGAGAGAGAGAGAGAGAGAGAGAGAGAGAGAGAGAGAATCTTATTTTATTTAGCACTCTATAACTGCACAGTCAACCTAGTGTATTGCCAAAGCCTGCTGTGAATCTCCCCAGTCCCAGACTCAATGGGGCTGGCTTCTGTTGCTTCCTCTAGCCTGGGACTGTAGGAGGAAGTCTGCATGCCGCCATTAAACATGTGACTTACTAGAGGCGCATACAGATGAGGTAATAAAAGGACGGTTTACCACACCGCTAACCACACCCACTTTAGGCAGGACTAAAGACGTATACGGCTGGACATAAAGACGTACACGTACGTAGGCGGAACTTTGGGCATGGCTAGGGGGCGTTACGGGGGAAGGTATAAAAGACAGCACACAGGAAGTCTCGGTCTCTTTTCCTGGAGTTCGGCTTCCGGTTTGACAGCTGAAACTACTTGGCTCCTCTGGGTTTGGTATCTTGTGAGTAATTTCTACTTAAATACTTAGCTTTACTTTCAGTAATTGTGTGTCGCGTATCTTTATAGTGTCCATTGAAGCCTACATGGGACAAGAGGGAGTAGGGCCTTGCTGACACCAGCTCATCATCTTGCTCCCCAGTTCTGATTCTGATAGCCTGCAGGCAAAGGCTGAGGCTTCTGCATATTCACTGGCCACACTTGGCTGCTGAAGCTAAAAGACTCCAGGTTGATCTCTCTCTCTCTCTCTCTCTCTCTCTCTCTCTCTCTCTCTCTCTCTCTCTCTCTCTCTCTCTCTCTCTCTCTCTCTCTCTCTCTCTCCCTCCCTCCCTCCCTTCCCCTCTCTCTCTTACACACACACACACACACACACACACACACACACACACACACACACACACACTATATTTTGTTGTGAGAGAGAAATGTACACAGCATACTCCTGAGGGGTAATTGCCAACCCCCTGGGACAAGCTTCAGCTTTTTCTTCTGTGCTCTTCTCATCTGTTTCTTCTTTTATCCCTTTGTAGAATTATTACTTGGATTTTAAAAGCTCCTCAAGGCTCACAAGCACTGACAGATCACAAGACAATTTGGCTTCTTGTCTTTTTCTCCCCCTAGGAACTCTGACTTGACACCAATCTTTCTTCATTTTCTTTCCAGTGACCTGGGCACACCCCTTGACTTGTCTACTCCCTCCCTCCCTCCTTCCCTCCCTCCCTCCTTCACATCTCTTTCTGAGACTGTCTCATGCAGCCCATCCTGACCTGGAACTTTCTATGTAGTCAAGGATGACCTTGAACTTCCCATCACCCTGCCTCCACACCCAAGGGCTTGGACTGAATCCAGGGCCTCTTTCATGCCAGGCAAGCCCTGTACCAAGTGAACTACATCTTCAGGCTCCTGATTTTAGCTTTTCCTTTTCCCTCTTGATTGATTTAGCACTTTATAAACTCTATTTACTCACTGTTTATCTGCTTTTTCCCTTTTTTCTTTTTCTTAGGGTCTCTACAGAGCCGTGGCTATCATAGTACTCCCTGTATAGACCAGGTTGGCCTCAAACTCACAGAGATCTGCCTGCTTCTACCTCTTGACTGTTGGGACTAAGGATGTGTGCCACTATACCTTGCCTAACCTGCTGGTCTGTTACTTAGACCCTCCACATTCTTTTCCACCTCAAAAAGATCACCGCCCACCATGAGGATCAGTAACGCCAACAAACTCCCATACCACCATGTATGGCTTTGCTGTCCTGAGGTCTCTGATGAATGGACTTTAAAAAAACTGTCCTGTGATCATGGTGCTATCTGGTCCCATGAACTGGAAATCAAGTGCTGTCTCTTTTACCCCCTGCTCCCTTAATAATGTCTTCCAGTCCCTGGTATGTGAGGGGACCTCGGATGGAAACAACCAAGTTTCCCAAATGGCCTGTATACGTCAGCCCGTCAGGGCCGATTTCCCTCTCAGTGCTCTGTCCTGTAGCCCTTGACTCAAGGGAAGATGAGGAATTAGATTACTGGATCTCTCTGCTTTTGTGGCACTTGACTGATTCTATCTGTACCTCCCGAGCCTGGTTCTAAGAGCCCCCTTTCAATTCTTGCTAAAAAGCTGTTTCCAATTCAAGCAGTCCAGTGGTAAAGTATTCCCTAATTACAGGTTTCCTGGATTATAACGGAGGTCCTGTCTGCAGGCTGAGTCAAGGGTTCTCCCTTTCTCTGTGTTGAAGACATGACTTTAGTGATAACCTCCTGCACGTGTACATTATTCTGTCTTGGCTATCCAATGTCCTCTGCCTCTTTCTTAGCAAATCAGAGGCTAATGCAGAGGATGTCATCCATATGTCTTTTTCTCACTGGAATCTCTCCCTTCCCACGGGCAGGTTCCTTTTGGACAGGCAGCTTAGCCTCAGTTGCGCACAACAGAGACCACAAACTGCTGCTGCCTACTTACGATCCCATCCAGTATGCCCCCACTGTCGGACACTGCAGTGTCTTCTCTAACTCTTGGTTCATTTTTGACCACATAGTACCGATTACTGTCCTCACTCAGAGAACCCCATTTGTCAAGGAGGTTATAGACAACCATCCGTGATTCCCCCCCCTACGATATTCAACATTCAGCTAGTTCAACCTTGGTTACACTTCTTACTACCTATAGTGGTAGGTATCTATCACCTGTGGCCGCAGCAAGAAGGCATACCACCACAAACCATATGAGGAAAGGGGCCCATGGTGGGTGGCATCAGTCCATAGATAGGCCACCCTCAAATGAGTCAGCCTCAGCTGCATGTCTTACTATACATAGCAAGGGCCATGCAACTGTTTTTCCCAGCCATCTTTGATTCTGTCATGGTCATGTCCGGGTACCGAATGTTGACTTTTCCTGATGAGTCTTATGTGTATTCACTACAGAGAGGGTGAAAATTATAGCAACCAAGTAATTCCACCCAAGTTCAACTTAGTGAACTGTCATAGAACATTATTTTAACTAGGCAAAGATGTGTTGCATTTGTTTATGCTGCAGAATGTTACTTTAACTGTGTGTTATTTTTGTTTATGCTTGCATTTGTTTAATGATGTAAGGGTGTGTTTAATTAGGTAAAAGATGTGTTGCATCTATTTCATCTTGCCTGCCTAAGGCACCTGATTGGTCTAATAAAACGCTGAACAGCCAATAGCTGGGCAGAGAAATGATAGGCGGGGCTGGCGAGAAGAAAGAATAAATAGGAGGAGAAATCTAGGCTTGGGAGAGGAAGGAAGAATTTGAGGAGAGAACAAGGGAAACAGACACCAACCAGCAGACACAAGAAGCAGTGAAAATAAAAAGAAAGGTAATAAGCCCAGAGGCAAAAGGTAGATGAAGAGAAACAAGTTAATTTAAGTTAAAAGAGCTAGCCAGAAACATGCCTAAGCTAGACCAAGCATTCAAAACTAATAATAAGTCTCTGTGTCATGATTTGAGAGCTGGTTGGTGGCTCAAAAGAAAGAAAACCTGGTACAGTGAACCAATGAATTTAATTGGGGTAACATACAAAATCATGAGTGAGGGACTTCCTACAGGACTTTGAGTACCTTAGACAGCTATACCATCAAAGAAGCTTCCCTTCCTCTCTCAGCAACTGTTAGCTACTTATATATCTTGGGGAGGGAGGGACATCAAGAGCCTGTGCACCAGGTATTCTTTCTCAGAGGGAATCTTGTGAGGGCCTCATGAGGGTAATTGCTCTGATTTCAAGACGGGAAGTTATGTCATGTTATGAGGACAATGTTTCCAAACACTACAGCGTCAACTAAATGATTTCTATTCCATATTCAATCCCTCTTTTTCAATGTGACGATTTTAGGGGAAAGTGATTATGCCACAAAGGAATTAGAGCCTTGTAGGAAGAGACAAGTGAGGGATTTCCAATACAGGGGTGGGGAGTGGGGTGGAGGATAGTGTGGGAGTGGGGTGGGGAGGTGGGGGGTGGGACCAAGAAGTGAGTCTTTGCTAGACGCTCAATCTGCCAGGACACTGGCCTTATACTTCCTTTCCTACAGAACCGTGAAAGCTGAATTTCTGTTTTTAAAGCTACTCAGTCTGTGGTATTTGTTACAGAGCTTGGACTACAGCCATCAGTAAAATAAAAAGCGACAGTATGTGTGAACTTAATGTACAATGCAGTGCGGTAGAATGAACTAGTATGGCCATGTGCTGAAATGATCTTTACTATGTAACAAGTAAAAGCAGAGAGGGCTCAGGCTGCGGGTATGGAGAAATTCTTTTTATGTAAATAGAAGATATCTAATCTTCACTGGTTGAAGAGTGAACTTCTTTTTGCAAGTATACAACTTAGTATCTCTTTTGGGGAGGACCACCAGTAAATTCATTGTACATTCCTTCTTTTAAAACTTAATTTAATAGCATATGTATGATGTTTTGTCTGCAAGTATGTCTGTGCACCACACACATGCCTGGTGCCAGTGGAAGCCGGAAGAGGGATTGGATCTTCTGGAACTGGAGTTATAGTTGTAAACCGCGATGAAGGTCCTGGGAATTAAACCCAAGTCCTCTGGAAGAAAAGCCAGTGGTCCTGACTTCTAAGGTATCTTTCTAGTCCCACTGGACATTTCTTTGTGCTGCTTGGGTTTGTTTTTGTTTTTAACTGTGTAATAGTGCTGTTCGTCCAGATGAGAGCCGTGATTGTTAGTTACTTGAGGTGACAGACAGTTGGAGAGGGAGTTGACCCTTGCCTGAGTTCAGCACCCTTCTGACACTGCGGGCAAGTTGAGCTCAAACTGTTTCCTATTAATATCACAGACTTACAGATGAATGGAATGTAAACCACATACCAATTACAAGAATCCCAAGGAGGAAACTCCCTTTTCCCTCTGTCTGTCCACCCACTTGTCCGACCACCCACCCACACAACTCAGTGTCTCTCAAGGGCAAAAGGAGAGAGGGGGAATGGGAGGGGGAGTTGTAAATGGGTAACAGGGGGAGACAGTGAACAAGCCCGGGTGCTCTTGGTGCTAACAATACTGGGTCTGTGAGCATTTCTTCCTTCCGTGGTGACTATTGTTCTCTGGAGGGACGTTTTCCTCACAGTCACAAAGCCATGGTCAGCAGTTAAGATAATTCTCTTTCCTGTGCTGAAACAAAACTTGCACACCCAAGAAGCTGTCTCCAGAGTGGCAGGAATAGGCTGGCAAAACTCCCTGGCAGAAGCACCTCCGACAAAGACTGCTCAGCTGCGGCAGAAGTGCAGTGTCCCCTCGGTCCTGTCAGCCGCTGGTGAAGGAGGACACTCTTCGTAGCTGACTGGACGCCACCAGCAGGATGGTTCTGTAATCTGTAGTGTCTATTACTGGGACTGTATCCCTAGGGTCACAAGCGGATCCCAGTTAACTTCAGCCAGGCCCATCTCCCTCTTGGGCTCAGCACTGATGAAAGTCACTCTATACTTTGGTGCGTGTGTGTTAACTGTGGGGTCCATGGCCCACTTGCTAAGCAAGCATCCTCTCACTGAACTAGTTGCCCAGCTGGAGTGCCACCCACGCCCGAGCACAACGTAAATCAGCCAGCCAGCGAAGCTTTCCTTGGTATCTTTGCGTAGGGAGGCTATGCATGTTCATTAGGCGGCTAGCTTTGGGGGACGATGGGAAATGCCACATCCACCAGATCAAGGGAAGGCAGGAAGGAGAGATAAAAGCGAACATGGAGCCATCAGAGGCGCATGGGTCATAGCCTGCAAGGCACATGCTGGGATGTCCAGGCCCTTGTGTCCAAGAAGAAAGCACTTGGACCAAGGATCCATGGATAGTGGCAGAAATAGACAGTTTATTAAGGAAGGAAAAGACACTCCTAGAATGTAGGTCAGAGCCCAGGAGGTCCAGAAGCCCAGTGGCTCTGGGTCATTAGCCTCAAACCTTTATGGGTCCTCCTTGCTCACTCACAGGTCTCGAGCTTTTTTTCCTGCTCCGTCCCTTATGCATGGCTCTTGGTTGTCTATCGTCTGTCCCTTTCTCCATCATTGCTCTCTTCCATATGTTAATCTTCATCCCTTCCTCTTCCTGCCTTATTCTCCTGGGGGCTTCCTGGATGGGAAAGAGAAATGACCACACACATTAGGTACCCTGGAGAAAAAGAAAGCATCTGCGCCCTGGCAGAAGATGGATCTGAAAGTGAGGCGCCCATGCAGGAGAAAGGACGCTGGCAGGAAGGGGAGCAGAGCTTGGGAGCTTGCTGCAGAAGAGCGAACGCTGGAGAGGCGGGAAGCTCCTCACCGCTCTGCTCTGCTCCACTCTGCGGAGCTGGGAAGCATTCTCTCCAGCTGCTTTGCGTCACGGTTCTCTGAAGCCCTGCTGGCCCCCACAGGGACGCATTATAAGAAATGTGACTGGAGCAGACATCACAGCCGTGCTCTTCTCCTGGGTCCCATCATCAGCCAAGCTGAACTCCTAACTGCCTTCTAAGGTGCTGAAAGGCCCCCATGTGGGAGTGTCTCAGAGGGTGTGACAGAGGGTGACCAAGTGTCAGAGAAGGTCCTGGGCCATGCTCCCAAGCAGAGTGCTTTCTAACTTTGAGAAAACCTCCAACTGCCAAGTGAGACTCACCAAACGTGCACCTGAGAGAGTGGCTGTTGGGGTTGCCAGGAGAGGAGAGACACAAGGATGAGGCACAATTGTTGATCTGAGAAGGCTGTGTCCCTGAAGGGGCACAGAATCTGTGGTGCTCTGAAAAAATGCTAGCCAACATTTATATGAGATAAGCTGCCACTTGGCTGCCGTGGATTTCAGCACACTCTAGTTAACTTCCTTCGTACTGACACAGACCTGCAAAGTAGGTATGTATGACTCAGCTTAATTCCCAACTCATAGATGGGGAGGGTAGGGCATAAATCGATTCAGTGGCTTTCTCAAGGCCACCCTGAGAGTCGATGTAAGGTACCTTATCATTGCCTGCCGGACAGCTACACAATTAGCTGCTTGAACAACCCTCTGCCCTTGTCTCGCCAACGTCGGGGTCTGGGTGGTCTAGCACAGGGTCTCTCATGGGCTGCAGTCCAGCAGCCAGCCAGGGCCCCGAAGTTTCACCTGGGACTCCAGCGGGAAAAGATCCACGGCTGTCAGCAGACGGCTGCTCTTCCCACAGTACTGTTGCACTGATAGCCTCAGTGCCCGGTGACCGTGGGTCAGAGGCCACCTTGGCCCCTTGGCCTTGGGGACCGCTCTATGTGATCACTTACAAATAACCGCATTTGTCCTCAGAGCCAGCTCAAAGAGGGCACCTGCTCTAAGGAGCGTCGGTCTCGGACACCACCCATGGCAGCTCGTCACGGTTGTGACGCTGATGTGTAAGAAGCCACAAAGCCCCGTGAGTGCTATGCAGTCTGGATGAGGAACAGACGGGCCTGTGTCCAAAGCCAGGCAGCTTTGCCTCCACAGCCTTGGCATCAGTACGTTTTCTTATTGCTGTGACAACTTAAGGAAGGAAAGGTCTGTTTAGGCTCACACTTTGAGTTTACAATCCATCATGGTGGGGTAGGCACGGAGGCAGAAGCGCAAAGCGGCTGGTCACGCTCCATCCTCAGACAGGAGAAGAGACAGATGGATAAGGGGATGCCAGGCTGCTCTCTCCTTTCTGTGTGGTCCAGGACCCACGCCTGAGGAATGATACTGCCCACCTCCATTAACGCAGTTCACAAACTCCCTCACAAGCGTGCCCATTCATTTGTCTCCATGGTGATTCTAGAGCCCATCAAACTGACAATCGATATAAACCCCACAGCCCCCCCCCACCGTAGCTAACCACTGTGCTCTCTGAGTTCCATTGCTGTAAGAAAATACCCAAGGGTATTTAGTCCACGGCCATATTGCTCTGCAGCTGTGGAGAGGGAGTTCATCTGAGGGCGTGTGTGTGATGGAGAAGACTGTTCATATCGTGGTGGCCAGGAAGCAGAGAGTAAAAAGGCCCGCATTGACCTAACTCCTTCCACTCCACTCCACTCCTGTGCTTATGGAGAGGCAGAAAGAAACACACTGCCCTGTTCATTCTGATGAGCACAGTATGCCTTTAGGAAGTCAAAGAGGATGCATCGCGCGGCTCAAACATGAAATTTCCCCACTCCTGCTGCAGACTTCCGTTGGAACCCTTGGTCACCAGCTCATGGCACTCTTCTGGGAGGCTGCAGAACCTTCAGGAGGTGGAGTCTCACTGGACAGAGTGGGTCACGGGGTGGGAGATGTGGTGGGGTGCGAGTCGTATGATTTTACAGCCAGGGTTACTTCTCTCTGTCTTCTCTCTGCTTCCTGGCTGCCGACACAATGCGACCAGCTGCCTGGAACTCCTGCCATATTCCACCACAGATAAAAGTAGTTAATACAAGTGTCTTGGGATGCTGTGTTAAACAGTCACTGAAATTAATCTGGGAGACTCAGTTATCCTGGATAGAGGGTCATCTTATACAGTCAGATGGAGGGAAAACTTAACACAAGAGAACTGTAGGAGACACTGTGTGATTAAAACCCACATGTACCTACTATGAAGAAAAAACCCTGAAAGTACAAAAGAAAACCAACCCCTTCTCGTGACATGGGCACAGACCAAAACCACATGGCTCCCTGTGGAACAGGGCTGAAGGTGTTCCAGTCATATTGTGTTCTCTGACCCTGCAGATCCATTCATGAATTCCAGAGTCTACCCCTTTGACTCCACCGGCACTTATCAGAAACATGTACTTTTTTGTTAAGGTCAAAAAAAGCTAGGGGTATAGCTTAATCGGCAGAGTGTTTACTTAAAATACACAAGGCTCTGGGTTTGATCCCCACCATGGCGTAAACTAGGTGCAGCAGCACACACTTGTAATCCCAGCACTTGGGCGGTAGAGATAGAAGGATCAGAAGTTCAAGGTCATCTTCAGCTACATAGAGATTTTTTTCCCTTTTTTTTTTGGGGGGGGGTGAGACAGGGTTTCTCTGTATCGTTTTGGAGGCTGTCCTGGAACTCGCTCTGTAAACCAGGCTAGCCTCGAACTCACAGATCTGCCTGCCTCTGCCTCCTGAGTGCTGGGATTAAAGGAGTAAACCACCAACACCCGGCTTCCCTTTTCTTTATTAATTTATTGTTTACATTCCAATCCCAGTTCCCCCTCCCTCTTTACAAACTCCCACTCTCTCCACTTCCCCCCTCCTCCCATCTGCTCCATGGAGAGGGTAAGGCCTCCCACAGGAAGTCTACTAAGTCTGTCCCTTCATCTCGTTGAGGCAGGACCAAGGCACCTCTCTACCACCCACACCGCCATGCCTAGGCTGAGCAAGGTATCTCTCCATACAGAATGGGCTCCACTAAGTCAGTTTGTGCATTAGAGTTAGAGCTTGGACCCACTGCCAGTGGCCTCATATATTGTCCCAGGTACACCACTGTTACCTATACTAAGGGAGTCTAGTTTGGTCTTATGCAGATTCCCCACTTGTCAGACCTGAGTCAGTGATCTCTCACTAGCTCAGGTCAGCTAATTCTGTGTTTCCCCATCATGCTCTTGACTCCTTTGTTAATATTTTTGCTCCTCCCTCACTTTGATTGTACTCCAGGAGTTCTGCCCATTGGTTAGTTGTGGATTTCTGCATCTGCTTCCTTCTGTTTCTGGAAGAGGGTTCAAGCTTCTCCGGGGTTGTGGATTGTAGGCTTGGTATCCTTTGCTTTATTTCTGGTATCCACTTATGAGTGAATATATGTTATATTTGTCTTTCTGGTTTTGGGTTACCTCACTCAGGATTTTTTTTTATGTTCTCTGTCCATTTGCCTGCAAATTTTAGGATGTCACTGTTTCTTACCACTGAGTAATACTCCATTGTGTAAATGTACCACATTTCCTTTATCCATTCTTCAGTTGAGGGGCATCTAGGCTGTTTCCAAGATCTGGCCATTACAAATAATGTTGCTATGAACATAGTTGAGTAAATGTCCTGTTGGTGTGAATGTATACTACATAGAGATTTTGAAGCCAGGCTAAGCTACATGAGACCCTATCACAAAACTACCACCACCATCATCAAAAGGAAGAAGAAGGAAAAAAAAGCAAGGTAAACTAGGTTGGCTTTGTCTCAGCAGAGAAGCCTGGGGGCTCACAGTGAGGCCCTGGGTGGAGCACTAGGACCTTCCAGAACAGCTTTTCCATTGTCCTTCCCAAATTCCCTCCTTCTCACTAAAGGTGAGAGGGCTATTGGTTAGAGCAGCAGCACTCAGCAGTGTAGCCCTGGTACAAACACACATGTATAAATCAGAGAAAGGGACCAGTCCACCCCCACCAATAAAAGGTGGAAAGCAAGGGTAGACAGCTGAAGTTGTCCTATCATTTCCGCCTGTGCCAAGGCCTTGGGCTTGCTAAACAAGATGCTCTACCCCTGAGCTGTACCTTCAACCCAATGCCAAGGATGTAAGTCTGTACTCTGGCACTAGTGTCCCAGCAAGCTTTGCTAGTTCGTTTATAGTTTGTCTCCATTCCCAAGAGGGCTGGTCCTTGAGTCACCCCAAGTGGCAGGGTCTCTGAAAATGGACAGTGGCTACCATGTTTGATCATATTTGCCGGCACGCCAAGACCTCAGTGGGGCTATGCCAGCACTTCTAAACGCAAATGGAACCCACACAGAACTCCTTTGGCCCCTCAGAAGACAGCTGAATGAGCTGGGCAATCAGCACTTCAGGGAAATATCTGAACACAGCTGCTACCCTCCTTCCTGCCACCCGTGCGGCCGCTTTTAAATATGGCTTGAACTCGAAGCTCTTTCCATTTATAAAAATTCTTTCCCCAAATGCTCTCTCCAATAACAGTATTCCCACATGTGCCGTTTGCTTCTGATATTTTTCTTATAAATCAATCCGATGAAACAGAGTCCTCTTGTCCCAGGACTCTTGTGTGCACAAATGATCCTAGCCCCCACCTGTGGCAAGGGACCCCAGAAAGGTTAGGCTGCTCTCGAGTCATTGCTCAGAGCTTTGTCATACAAAGGATTATGACAGTCTGTGCAGGGCTCAGGACCAGATGTGCAGTGGCACAGTCCACACAGCCACAGAGCCTGCGGGCCCCAGGCAAGGTGTCTAAGCGCAGTGTGGTATCTGGCCCTACTTCTCTCCACAGATCTCCACCTTTGGAAAGGGGGACCTTGAGAAGGCAAGTTGTCTTCATAGTCTTCACTTCCAGATACCAAGCAAGAGCTGGAGAAATACCCTTATTGCACCTGGGAGAGCACAATCCTGGTGTGGGGCCCATTCAAAGCAATAGATGAGAGTCTCTCAGGTAGGACTCCAGGGGAGTTTTGGAAGCCCGTCAGGAAACATGAATGTGCCACTAAGACTTAGATCTACTTTCTTGCAGGACACCCTGGCAGCATCCCATCACCCAAGGGTGTCAGATTGAGGCACAGTCTGACTCGGGGGTAGGTTTCTCCTCCCAGACAGGGTATCCTCTCTGCCACACAGAGATCTGGTCAAGTCCAGTGGTTCTGGAAGCATATAATTTGTTTATTTCCAAAGAACGGTCCCTCCTTGCCTTGGAGATGTGTCGGTTGTGTTGAGCCCTCCCACCACAACACAAAACATTCATTTAGATCCCTCAGCACTTTGTTTTAGTTTCATTTTCCTAGTATAAAGAAGCATAAACAGAAATGTAAACATATTCAAACATATATATGTATGCGTGTACACAATACATATTTATGAGTATGTAAACATGAATGTAGGCCCAAACCCTGTATAGTTGCATTCATGTATATGAATGTGTGAATGTGCAAGCACACACACACACACACACACACACCTGTAAATGACTCCAGAATAATTGGATTGAGCAGGAACTAGCAATGGGAAGCTGGGGAAGTTGACACTCATATCCAGAAGCAGCTCATCTTTCTTTTCTTTTCCTTTTTTCTTGACACAAGGTCTCTCTTTATAACCTTGGCTGTCCTGAAGCAGGCCTCAAACTCATAAAGATCCACCTGCTCTGCCTCTGCCTCCTGAGTGTTAGGATTAAAGACGTACGCCACCACACTCGTCCTTTCTCCTTAAAGATGTATTTGTTTTCATTTTATGTGTGTGAGGAGTGTTTGCATGTGTGTATGTGCACCACACACATGTAGTGCCTGCAGAACCTAGAAGATGGCATCAGATCCCCTGGAACTAGAGTTACAGATGGCTCTGAGCCACCACGTTGATCCTCTGCAAGAATACTGAGTGCTTTTAATGGCTGAGCTGTCACTCCAGCCCCGTGGGAAGCAGCAAGTCTGTAGAGGGACTACTCTGGGGTCCCCAGGGAAAGGGAAATCATAGGAAGGTAGGTTGAATCTGGTAGCTAGGGCCCAGCTTTTGCAAAGCTCCAGTTCCCAGACGAATTAGCTTGTTTTTTCTAGATTCTCACTCTTCCTGCCATATCAGCCCACAGCGCTGTGGGGCCACGTGCTTATCCATCTCCCAAGTGTTCTTGTCACTCATCTAGTTCCCTTAGCTACCCCTAGCAATGGCCCAAAGGGAGACAGGGGTCTCAATCTTCCTTCCCCTTCCTGCACTGTGACTTTTGTGAAGGTGAAACTTCCCTGCTTGAAGATGATATGATTGTGGGGGTGGGGGGGTGGAAACTCCATCTGAAATGTGCGGTGATAGTCAGTGTGGCGCCTCCTGGTACCTGATCACTGTGTGCAGCCTTGGGGGTTCACACAGAAGGGTCTCTTAGAGTCTCTGTGTGTTCTCTTGTCCCTGTGAGTCCAGCACTGAACCAGATACCTGGTTAAGTATTAGTTGGGGAAACAATGAACGAGCCCCAAACTTTCCACTTTTCCTATTATTGATTAGGCTTTAAGTTTAGATGGCCGCTCCACCCTGCACTACGCTTCGTCTAACCAATTTAATCGGTTACTTCCCCTCCCCCTCTGATTCTGCCTTCCTGTTATCATAAAATCAGCTACACACCTTGATTGACAAGGGCAAACTAACCCAGGAAGAGATACAGCACGAAGTGTTTTTACCTGAGTCCTAGAATTAAGGGTGAAACATTTTCCTTTTTGAGGTAATGAGACTCTCCATAAAATATTTGCCCCGTGACTACTTCCTACCTATAAAGTAGGTATTGTGGGGAGATGAGGAAGCCATTCACACGTGTATTTATGGAGGAAAGATATTTTAAATATGTTTCAGCCAATAATAATGTAAAAATTCCCAGGAGCCCTGTGAGGTGGAGCCAGAAAGGGTCTAGGAGGTGAGGTGATGTCTGCCTCAGTCCCCCATGTCACGTGCAGAAACATTTCAAACATAAAATAAACTAATAACTGGGGAACTGGAAGGATGGAGGGTCTCTTTTCCCTTAGTAACTTTAAAGGGACACAAACTGCATCTAAGTAAGAAATGCTTCAGCATTTTAAGAGAAGGAGGATTTGAAGTGCTACAGAGATCTTAATATTGTAGCGCTACAGAGATCTTAACATTGTTTCTTAAGAAGGGGTCTCAAGTAGTCCAGGATGGTCTTAGTTTTTGTCTGTAGCCATGGATGATCTGGAACTCTTGCCCCTACCTCTCAGATGCTGGCATTGTAGGCATGCTACAGTGTCAGCTTAAATTGTTTTAAATCCTAGCATTCTGTAGCTAATAGGAAATGAAAGATTTGGCGATCTAGATTACCTAAACCAATTGTTCCTGTGAGTAATCTCATGAAGTTCTCTCTTGAGAAGTCTTAAGTCCTGTGTTCCCAGAGGGTGAATACCTGGCTCCAGTCTCCTCTCTGAGCTGGGGCTGAAACCCTACAACCAAAATGGAAGAGAGCTTATTTCCTGCACAGTACTTTGTGGATTCTTAAGCATGGGGTCCACACAAATAGACCAGCTCAGGCCACTGACTTGTTAATGAGACGTGCCTCTGAGCCCATAATAGGTTATCAGGGAATCAGAAAGTATCCTTCTTCTATGCTTGGACCATAATGATGAGGGGTTCTTTGTTTGTTTTGTTTTTGATGCTGTTGAACCTTTCTCATGTCTTGGGGAGCTAGGTCTCAGATGATCATTGGTCACCCAGAGTCAGCGATTTTTTTTTTCAGCTCGTTGTTTCATACCCATTAAGATTCTTTGTGAGTTCGAGGCCAGCCTGGTCCACAGAGCAAGTTCCAGGACAGGCTCCAAAGCAATACAGAGAAACCCTGTCTCGAAAAACCAAAAAAAAAAAAAAAAAAAAAAAAGAATAGGGAAACAGAAGGGATTTTTAGGGACGAATACCCCCATGTTGTTCTGCCCAGTGATCCTTTGTGGGTCATATGGAGGGACCTGGTTGGAGGTTGGGACATCTTTATTGGGACTGGCTACTGTAACAGGATAAATAAAAGACCCAGAGACTAATATTGGGGTTCAAACTTCAAGATGATGATCAGAAAAGCAAAGTATCAGGCCACTAGCTCTTACCACTACCTCAGGCTGAATGGGCTGATCCTGCTGCCTCTCCTCGGCATGGCTACAGAATCCTGAGACTTCAATGTCTCCCTGTCCTCAACATGGCTAGATAATGAATGCTAGATACTGAGACATGTTCCTGTCTTATACACCTCCCAAATCCTGGGATTAAAGGCATGTGATCCCAGGCACTGAGAGATCACCTTTGTGTGAGCTGTTTCTCTTCAGGACTGGGTCAGTCTTGTGTAGATCTGGGTGGCCTTGGACTCACAGACAACCATCTACCTCTTAACTCTGAGTCCTAGGATTAAAGGTGTGTACCACCACCTCCTAGCTTCTGGCTGCTGGGATTAAAGATGTGTACCTGGTTTCTTTGGCTTGTGGCTGACTTTTGATAGGGGATGTTCTTTTGTATGTTTCTCTTATTGATTGATGAATAAAACACTGTTGGGTCAATGGCTATTGAGGCAGTAAGATAGGCGAGACTAGGAGAGGAGGAGAAGTCTGGGAAAAGTGGGCAGGAGAGTCTGCCAGAACAGTCGGGATATAGCAGGCAAAGGAGTTGCAGGCCCGGCATTCTCTTGTAAGCCATGACCATGTGGAAATACATAGATTAATAGACATGGATTAATAATTAAGACAGAGATAGCCAAATAAGAAGCCCTAGTCATCAGCCAACAGTTTCGTAGTTAATATAGCGTCTGTGTGTCTGTGCGCCAGAAAACTCATGCTTACAAACTTTGCTTTCTGAATTCCCAGGCAAGCTTTAATAAATCATAAGTAATGGATCACCACAGGTTACTCTCCAGCTCATGCTGCCCCAAGCCAGTAAGACGCCAGTTCTATGTATGTTTTCTCTGCCCACAGAAAAGTGATCCAGTCAAGGGAATGGTCACACTGGGCCCCGGCCTCACTGCCCAAGGGACACTAATGCCAGTTATAGTAGTCTGCCCGTGTATTTCAGAGCTGCTAAATTCCCCACCCTGGTAAGTTTGTTTATACTGTTACCTCTACCTGGAACTCCCTGCCACCACTCCTTCCCTGCAGCAGTCTTATTTCAGGATGGTGTTGGCATCCTATGAAGCTCCATAAATTTCATTGCTCCCACGGAACGCCCCACACTTCAAGGGCTCAGTAAGTGCCGTGCAGAATGGAAGCTCACTGAGGACTGTACAAATGGTTGTTTCTCTGTGTCTGTCCCACCACTCTGTGAAACACCTCAGGAAAGGGTTTAATCCACGTTTCCGGTGCCGACAGCAGCACCTCCTTGCTTGTTGTCCCAGAAGTGATCAAGCGGGGAAATTCCAGCAGGATGGAATTCCAATAAAAAAAAAAACAGAATACCCCAAGAAACAACACCTCCAACTCACAAGGCCTCGTCCAGGGCTGGCAGCCTGAAGTAGCCGGCTCAGACCCTGGAAGATAGGTCCCCACGAAGAAGAGGGGAAGAATGATTGCTGCAAGGGAAGATGGGAGTGAGAGGAGGAGGTGGGAGCTGTCTTATCGTAATTATAGACAATACAAAAACAAAAGGCTGATCCAAACTCCAAGAAAAGCCAACAGCTTTCTAAGAAGAGGAAAAATGTATCTGGAAAGACCCAGCAAGGACAAAAGGTTTATTGTGGCTTGTGGTTCCAGAGGTGTGGGGGCATTGCTGGCTTGTTCTATTGCTTTGATGTCCAAGGCAAGGCAGAAACATCAGGGCAAGATGATTGCCCATCTTACGGTGACCAGGAAGCAGACGATAGGAAGAATAGGACTGGGGAAGAGCTGGAGAGAGGACTCAGCAGGTGAGAGCATGCACTGCTCTTGCAGACAGCCAAGTTACCAGTACCCACGCAGACAGCTCACAACCTTGTATCTCCACCTCCAGGGGATCCAAGAGCTCTAGCCTCCAAAGGTGTTTGCATTCATGTATGCATACACACACATAATTAAAAATTGTATAAATAAATCTTTTTTTTAAAAAAATAGACTGGGCATAATATATACCCTTCAAAGGTATTACCTCGGTGACCCACTTCCTCCTACTAAACTCCAATTCCTAACAGCCCAGTCAGCACCAAACCCATCCGTGCCTAAATCCAGGATCACCCTTATAACTGAATCATCTGCTAACAGAGCCACCAATCAGGGACCAAGACTTAATGCATGAGTCTTTGGGGGACATTTTATATATAAACCATAACACTATTCAGTTGCAAAAAAATATTTTTTAAAAAACTGATCGATAATTTAACTACAAATCGTGATGTGCCTATAGGAGCAGAGTGGGGAGGAGGCACTTAACCAAGGTAGGGCCCAAGCGAAATCCGAGCCCAAGTTGTTGCTAAGGTTTATGGGAAAGATCCTTAAAAGGTTAAAAGCACTCCGGGCATTCCCCTCCTTCCCTTTCTCGTGCCTCCTCCTCTCCAGATGTGAAGACTCCAGGATTTTTATGGTGGGTTTGTAGTTGTTTGGATCCAAGCCCCTTCCATCTTTCTGGCCTCACATCTGGTTTCTCTTATTCAGGAGATAAACAAATCTTTATCTTGTTGAAGTAATTTTTACTGGGTCTCTGTGCTGGCAGCTGAATACAGTTTCTCTCCAGTACGAGACACACAGCAACTTGTTTGGAGCCACAGAGCTGACTGTTGAAGGAAACACAGTCTTCCCCAGCTGTGTCGGATAACTCGTGACGAGCGGCCCTCTGTGTGCGTGTGCATGTGCGTGTGCGTGTGCGTGTGCGTGTGCGTGTGCATGTGCGTGTGTGTGTGCATGTGCATGTGGGTGTCATGAGGTGGCGTGTGGAAGAAAGCTCTGATGCCTGCATAAGCACCCATGTGGAAGGGTAACCAGACAACATGTAGGGGTGGCCAGGAGAGTTCAGGGGTAATTCTTCTCACACTGGTGGCCTTGCCTGGTTCCTCACCGGATTCTTACATCTGGCCATTGATTTTAACAGCAGTTTTGAGTTACAGAGTCACTCTTCGGAGCAAAGGCTGCCTGCTGCTGGTTAGACCCCAGAGCTGATATTCCTCCTACACTGTTCACTCCCTCTCCTCTGAGCAGTCAGCCTCCTTGGTCCATATCCCCATCAGGAAAGCTGTGTGGATTTGTGTTGTTTGGAGTTGTACACTGTGCTTTCTGCAAAACCCCAAATAATCAGTACCTTTCTGTAAACCTCAGAAAGTCCTCTTTGGTCTCTTAATTAAAGGTGTTAGACGTGTGCAAGGCCCTGAATTTGATCCCTGAAGCCACTCAGTCAAGCAATCAATCAAAAGCATCAGTGTCATGGGGAGACATCTAAAAAGGGGGTCTCTCTATAATTGTCCCACATCCATGAATATAGGTTGTCTTTGTATCCCTTATTGATACACCCCTGGAGGAGGCAGGCTGTCTAGAGGGGTCATAACTTTGAAGAATACAGTTCTCTGTATATAGCTCAGATGGTCCCCAAAGGGCAGACAGTTGAAAGGCATCTTCCAGTATCATCCCTTAGGAGCCCTGAAATTACAGATCTACACTAGTATGTCTGACTTTCCATAGGCTCAAGGGATTTGAACTCAGGTCCCATGTTTGCACAACAAGCACTTTACTGAGTTGTCTCCCCGGCCCCTGTTTAGTATGGTTTTTGACAGAAAGATGAGCAGCTCTCACACTGCATATGACAGTTGCAATCTTATGTTTTAATCCACAGGGGACATGTTATCTCATTGATCTTGGAACACATAATCAGAAAGGAAACAAGATATCCACTGCCCAAATGAGCTACCACCAAATACAGAGAGGCCAAGAGAGCCCTGAACAGCCCACTTACCCAGAGATGCTACTTGACAACAAAGGGAGCCTTCTGCACAAGGAGTCGTCCTCTCCTGGTATCTGCTATGCCCTTGACCATTCTGTTAGTCTGTGTCTTTTTATTGGGGCAGGGGCAGGGGCAGGGACCTGGCAGTGGGAGTGGAGGATGAAGCAGGATGGATCCTTCTTGCAGCATACAAGAAGCATACCTCAACATCAAACACAGACATTACCTCAGAGTAAATGGTTAGAAAAAGATTTTCTAAGCAAATGGATCTAAGAAGTAAGCTGGTGTAGTCATTCTGATATCTAACAAAAATAGGCTTCAAACCAAAATTAATCAAAAGAAACAAGGAAGGATACTTCATACTTATCAAAGGAAAATCCATCAAAATGACATTTCCATTTTTAACATTTATGCCCTAAACTCAAGAGCACCCACATTTGTAAAAGAAACATCATTAAAGCTTAAACCACACATCAACCCTGAAACATTAATAATGGGAGAATTCAATACCCTACACTCACCAATGGACAAGTCATCGAGACAAAAACTAAACAGAGAAATACTGGTGCTAACA